TCCTTCTAATATCTAACTGCTAATCCTTGACATACACATCCTTTCTTGAGATCTTAAGCAAGCATTTATCCATCCGATCAAAAACACTGGAAAAGAGTGATAAAATGTGTCCTATGCTCAGTCTAGGATCTCGTTAACAACTTCTAACTAATAAACATCCTTTTTAATGTAATGTAAATAAGTAGAAATGGTTACGTTGGCACATAATTATATCGATAATTGATAATCATGTTTAAAAAAAAATTACACTGTTTTCACACACACAGTGTTTTTGAAATGTATGTATTATTGTGGAAAACAAGCAAGCAAGCAATTTTCAAATGGAATCAAATCTCTTCAGCTACCCTGTCATTACACAAAAGTTGAGAAGGAGTGACTATTAAAAACTTCGAAGTGTTATTCTTGAAACTAAGCTATATAGAAAGCACTTCCTGTAGGAAAACAGGTTGGCATGGTGTGGGCCTCATCTGTTCATGTCATGAGTGCAATAAATCAAGACAATAGCACCTGGAAGTCATAAGAACCATTAATCTTGCCTTAAGAACCTGTTCCAAAGCTAAGAGAAATCAACTGTGGAAGTCTTAATGCAGCCTTCTCTAAGCGCTACAGTCTTAAACATATGTAGCTTGCTACAAAAGTAATGCTTCCCATTTATTTATATGGAAACTCCCATGTATACAAAGAGCACAATAACAGTATTTGACAGAGCACATTCTCAGCTATAAAATACTCTTCTTGGACATAGTTACCACCATTAACTATGCTTTTTCACCTGCAATGAGCATGTTGCTATTACTGAAACACACAACCCACAGCTCCACTTGTGTTGACATTCACTGTTAGGTCTCCATAAATGTTCAGCAAGAGTCAGTGAATGCCAATGGGTGCCATTTTTTCAGCATGGAAGAATTTAATTACACACCTCTGCCTCATACACACTCCCATGACAGATGCCATTCTATCAGACTGCCCCTCTGCTGCCATGTATCACACAGCAACAACATGTAATAGATTATTGGCAGGGAGGTTCAACCTCTACTGCCATGCCACCAACATCTGCCTCTGGTGCTGGGGGCCAACATAAGAAAACAGGAGATATTACTTTCAGAACAGCCTTCTGGATATGAGCCACCAATATGCAGGTGATTTCTTAAGAATAAACACAAATATATTTTTGTTTCAAAACTCACATTTCAGAAGTTGCTCTCCCAGACATGGACCAACTACATTCTTTCTTTCTAATCTTTGAGAGAAGTCTATATTGTGTAAAGTGAAATGGGCAATTATGTGAAACGGCCTCTCAAAGATGTATTTCCTTGTGCTCACCTCACTGTGTTCTCAGCTACATGCTGAAATACAAAATGGCTAAAAGAAACAAGGAACAGTAAAACTGTATTTCTAAAAGCCCCTGAATAAGTCTTCTTTATTTGATGATAATAATAAAGCTTAAATTTATTCCGGTGGGTACTGTTTTGCAATACACCATATAGTAATTAACTCCAACACTGGATAATCACTAACACTGTAAGGGCTTATGAGGCCTCAGAGAGTTTTTAAAAATTGTATTTTGGAAAGATTGAACCCTCTGAATCCATCATGGAATTAAGGAAGTACAAAGCCCTAGCTTTTGAGCTGAAAATCACAAACGACCATCAAAATGCTTGACATTCTACATCAAAAGAATATGGTATGCATGAGTAAGAACAAGGTATTCTGATGGTCCTGAAAAAGTTCACTTCCACTTTCCTTGATATGATCTGAGACTTTTTTAAAGCCAATCAAATACCATTATATGACATGTTGTATTGCATGATCATGCCCATGAAATACTTGTTAAAGACAAGTTTTTTATTAATGTTTCTCACTTTGCTATTTTCAGAAGCGTTCACCTATACATATACTGTTATATTTGCTATGCAATTTACTTACAGTGTAAATGGCCACCTCTCAGACATTCACAAACAAGTAGAGTTTTACAAATGGATCTATTAACTCCTTGTCTTCCTGTACAGTATTGGAACTGCATTATTATATCATTTAAATGGTAATTAAATTAGAATAAGATAACAGTGTGTAAGAAAGACCATTCTTTTCCTCTCTCTATCATGCTTAATATGAAAGCCTGATTATTTCCTCACTTGCTACTATCCCTGTGTGGCAATGCAATCAATTTCATGTTCTAGTCTGAAAAGTGTAATTTTTTCACTTTTCACTGCAAAGCCATGCTTTCCCAAATTGTACAGGTCGAATACCTGAAAAGACAGCTTTATTGATCAAGTTTAAAGTATTGCTTAATGGAAGAAGTTTGATTTGTTCTGAACTAGATAACAGCCCTGCAAATACAATAAGGATTAATTTTCAGCATTATGTCATTTGCTCAGTGCTCTAACACTCACATCAGCAACAGAACACAAATGCCTAATTTTGACTTGGCAAAATAAACAAAACTGAATTACTGAGTTGACACTGGGTCTTATTGTAGAACCTCAGTTAGAGGTTAAAATATCAACAAGCAGTAGGATGTTAGAGGCAACATAGGTTTTTCAGGAAAACAAAGAAGGTCAGATAGTCCAGGTAGACTAAGCAATGTTCAGGATCAGATCAAGAGATGAGCAGGCAAGAGATTAAGTTCTTGAAAAAGCCTTCATTGACACTGTTCTAGGGGCCTAGCTGGAACTGAAACCAGACCAAGTTACTAACAGCTTCCTTGGAATTAAATTGTTTGTATCTACACCAGCAATTAGAATGCTAGAGCGATCCTTCCTGAAGATTGCTTTGTGCTTGAGTCAGTGCAGTGTAGCTCTCTGTATCATTCCTGCTGTGATGAAGCCAAGGATCAAGTTGCTCCCCTCTATGCCAGCAAGAGTATGGTGTTTGTCATGCAGACTTTTAGCCCTCAACTGTATGTAATCTGTGTATGTATGCATACTCAAGTCAGCAGCAAGCATGAACTGCACTGACAGTGAAGATCTGACACTGATATGGCCTGCTAACTGTAGAGAACTGCAATAAATCAGTCGCATCAGCTGGTGATGTAGATACACCCAGTGTGAATCTCACTGGGCAGCAACTTGAACCATAAGACTTATTTCCAACTTCCCTTTCTGTTTATGCTAAATTTCTGAAGGATTAAGTGTTAAGTCTATCCTTAATAGAGATACACGGTGGCTGGTTTTACAAAGATATCATGGGGTTCTAAGAGTATAGCACAATTTAATTACAGAGTTTGCATACCATGAACTTTAAAGATATCAAAGGCAAGACTGGAAGCAAAAGAAGCCTGTCAAGTGAATCCATCATTACACATATCAACCAGTTTTATCATATGATGGGAGAAATTCTAGTCAGTGCAAAACAAATGTGGTTGTGAGGATGTGTTCAGAAGCACAAGGTAGTACTACTTCCTGATGCTTGGTGGTCACAATTTTGAGGTTGGTTTCTACAAGATCCATGCTTGATGTACACTTAAAAAATAATTATTATCAGCCATAGTAAAAATAATTTCTATTTTTAAGCAGCAGTTAATTTTGCAAAATGTTAAGTATTCAAATATAGCTTGAAGAACACAAAAGGCTAAAACCAGAAACAATCTTGTTAGACATTTTTCCTTGCTGCATGTCCTCCAGAACTGAAAAAGCAGAATTAACTGCAGAGCAAATCAATAAAATTTTTGTATAAATTTGGTATTTTTGATCAATCATGGAAGGAAAAATCAATTGATTTTCTGCAGAAAACATAAGACGCTATGGACTTCATTCCTTATAAAACTAATCACATGCACCTATGTTTACCACATCAGTGATCTCTTAATTTTCAGTAAAAAGGAGAATTTGTACCCTGCTTCCAGAGAGAAGTCTGAAAGGATGGATCCCAGTGGTCCAGAAAATAAATGGTCTAATTTTACTGAGTCATCATTTAAAAAAAAGAGGTCCTTATAACAAGTTTCTGAGGCAACCTCAAGAGTCAGCCTCTACGGCTTTATCAATACTGTTTCACCACTAAGATATCCCATGTCTACAGTGATTGGGTTGCAACAACAAAAGGAAATGTACCTTTATTACAAAACAACTGTTTTTATTTTAGTTCTTCACTTGTCATGTGAACATTTTTTTTGCTTCAGATTTTTTGGAGATTACTAAATACTGTGCTACATTAGAGGTGACTGTGTCCCATTAGAATAAAATATGTGAATAAAGGATTTGAATGGCACATTTCTGAGAAATGTTTACAGTAACTAAGGAAAAAAAAAAGTATCTACCAATATTTACCAACTTAGAAGGTAAAGAACTGTGATATGCACACCATAAACAAAATTAATGTATCAAAGCTACACATGCTTATTTTCTATCACACTTAGAAGTCAACTATTAGAAAACAATTCTAAGCAACCAAGTTTAAGGCACCGAATTCACATTAAAAGAGATCAGTGCAGACCAGTCTCTAGGAATGTGAATGTGCTGAACTCCACATTCTGCAGGACTACAGGCAAGATTAGAAGCATTTGTAAACTTCTAAATGGCCAGGATTCCAGGGCAGGGTCCAACTGATAAACTAATATTTTTTGTTTAAGATTATGTTTCCACTGTAAATTACAACACTGAGGCACTGAAGGGTTCTTTTCAAACAAATTTTCTATATGCACGTATGTGTTTTGACACACACTCATAGGGACTCCCTATTAAAATACAAAGCCTTTTACGAAAACAGAGACAATCCTCTGACAAAAGTGCTGAGTTCATGTGAGATATAAGATATGCCTGAACTGCATCAGCTCCAGTGTTTACATACTCTTCACTTCAAGATGCCCCAAATATTAATAACTTTTCTTTAAATGAACAGATTTTGAATTTCATTGCACTATATAACGAGCACTTCTCCAGTTAATTCTTCTCTTTGGATCTGTGATTATACACTTCACTTCTTAGGGATTAATAGAATACAGTGATGCACGACATGAATGGCTTATACAGACTGCAGGAAGAGAAGCCAATCACCTTTACCTGAAGTGGGAGACTTGCAACGCTCTAGCTCCAGGGAAACTGGACTGTCACTGAGTTCAGTCAGGCCTGAAAAAATGGAGTTAAAAAGTTAAGTTACAATCTAACAGGGCATGCTTCAGCTTTCTTGGTCGATGATATTCTGCACTTCAAAGCCATAGTGGAGAAAGGAGCAGTGTGAAAAGTGAGGGAAATACCTATTTCAGAATAACTGTAGTTATCAGGCTGTCCCTACAGAAATTTAGGTCTACTTCAAAAATCACACCTCTTGTTAACTCAGATTTGTTTTCCAAGTGCCTCAGAGTAGACAAACAGTCTCTGTACTTTGTGTAGTTTAAAATTCAAATCTTTGTGATTTGTATAAAAATCAGTGTTCCCTGAGCAAGAGATGTGGAATCAGCTCTATACTTTCATGTGCTGCACAATGCACAGCAGAAACCATAAAATGGGGTGAGGAGGGCATGAAGAGGAATTAAAAAAAAAAAAGACTGAATACTTGTGCAAGAAGAAAGTGAATAAAAGAATATAATCACTACAACACTAGAATCTTAGAAGCATTCACAGAAGACTGCTCATTTTAAAGAGCACAGAGGTGATGGTATTATCTGAATATAACAGGGAGTTTTTCGGACAAGACACCCTTCACATCATTTAGAAAAATTTATGAGGAACTCATCTGCAGCAGTCTACCATGGAGCAGAGCAGCAAGTAGTATAATCCTAGCTTAAACTGCTTAAGCATGAGCTTGTGTTTGTGATCAAACTAAAACCCATCTTAAGCACAGATTGGGCATGTCTGAGCTCATGCTATAATCTACTATGGGCTGACGGTTGAGTGTTTTTGTGAGGTACAGATACATACAATGAAATACTAACACTGATTCTTTTCCAAATGCAGTACTGGTGTTTCCTAAAATTTGACACTATGGATATGGATTAATGAAATCATTCTAAGTTCTGTACAGTTACTCTTGGCTAAGTTATAATCATAGAACAGCTTGAGTTGGAAGGGACCTCAAGGATCATTAACTTCCAACCCCCAGTGCCAAATCCCAGGTAAGATTTTGCTTCTGAATAGAAAGTATTTATTTGGAAGTTTACATAATCAGTATTACAGCTCAAGGTACACTGGTGCCACTGACTTATGTAGGAAAAGCACCAAATCACACCACCGTTCTGAAAGAAAAAAAACAACCACCTTGAGAAGAACCACAATCTCTACATGTTTGGCAAAAGTTTAAAATGCATTTCATATTATGACATTTTTGGAATGGTGAACATGCACTTTTCTACGTCTTACTTTCCACTTTCTACTTTTCTATCTCTTATTTTTAGTGTAGGAATTTATATGTCCTCCAAAAGCACGCTGTCTTAGTCTTGAACACTTCGATTTGCTTAAGTACTGTCACTTGCAAATTTTCCCCTGGTGTCAATCACCCTTGCTTAGAAACACTGAGTTCTACTTATCATCCATCTATATATCCAAAGTTTCTTTTAACCTTATTACATTAACAATAGAGTCATAAAGTCATAGAATCATATGAGTTAGGAGGAACCTTTAAAGGTCATCTAGTCCAACTCTCCTGCTATGAACAGCAACATTCTGCAAGTTCAGGTTATTCAAAATCACCGGATCAGAAACACTGATAGTACAAATAAGTGCAGTTCCAATAATGCGATATAGTTGGGATTCTTTAACTTTTTGTACTTTCTGGTCCATAACTTATAAATGGGAAGGAAGGATGAAAAAATTGAGAACTAATTTTTCATCTCCCAACTAATGCTTCATGACAAAGTAGTAAAAGCTCTGAATCCATCTCTTTGCCTTCCTTTTCATCAAACTGCCTTCCTGCTCTGGGAAACAATCCATTTTCTCCTCCCAACCACTTTCTACTTGTCATTTTGCCTAGGCATGGAAGAAAATCTTGTGACTCTGTAATCTCTAAACTCATGTAAGCTGAGAGAGAAGATGAAGATGTTACATGACATTGCATAATCTGCAATCATTCACTGAAAGGAATAAACACGTCTGAATTTTTATTGATCTTCGATTCCATTGAAGACTGGAGATTCTCTTGAGATAAGAAAGGAAGCTCTCAAGCTCTCCTTTGTACTAGGGCTTATTTTCTAATTCCCTTTTTAAGGAAACCATTTTAATAATATCTCATATGTATTTCCATGCAGCTTGGTTTCCCTCAAATCCTTGAGAGGCTACTACTGATATCATATTAGGAAACACTTTCAATTCTTGCTTATAAGTTCTGTAGGACCAACCTCTGTCCCAAGATATTTTTGCTGAAATTAGCAAAATTTTGAGACCAACTACTGTAAGAAGAACATGGCAGCAAACTTAATGCAAACAACTGAGTTTGGGAATTGAAACAGACAACTGTCAGAAGCTGTACCCATTGACATTATTTTGCTTTGAAAAAGCTATAAACATAAAAATTACACAATATGTAAGTATACCTTCTGAGGCATAAGGTAATTTTAAAGACAGCTCATGGATCCTTTTCAATCACTTTTGCTGCGATTCCCATTTTTTCTTTGTTAAATAAACAAAAAAATTATTGAAGGATCAAAAATGTAATGTGTAGTACAGAATAGTAACATTTATGAAATAATATTAATTTAAAATAATTTTAAAATTTGAATCTCTGAGTACATGATTCAGACTTTCAAGTCTTTAAAGGCATCCAAGCCATCACATCTTTTGTTGTAATTTAATAAACTATAAACAAATTCTCATAAATATTCACAAGCCAATAAGTAAGCTCAGTATCACACTAATTCATAAGTCTCTACACTGAATTACCATGCTATTTCTTTTACATTTAAACATGATGCATTCTTTGGAAATGGCAGCTTGTTCAGAACATAGACATTTACTTAAAACTCAACATTAATTAGCTTCTACTGTGTTGATAGGTGTCATTTAAAGTGTTAATTACTGATAAGTAATGACTCATAACACAGTGTTCTGTTCTTCCTTTAGCAACAAAGTTACTTCTACTCTCATCCTCTCAAAGGACAGGCCTGAAGGAGGAACAGGTATATCTCAGTGAAAACTATGAATTCTGAAAACTATTTTCCAATGGGTAAACATAATTTTAACCTGTTGCCTCTTTGGATGCTTCATAAAGACTATTTTCTTGTTTTACTGACAGATGGTATGAATTTCTATTGATGGTATGAATTTCAATTAGAAGATCAAACTGGTTTTGTAAGTTTGTAGCTTTATGTTCCGCTGCAAGTACAATCACTCAAGATGGAGGAAATGTATTTGTTCTAATATTGGAATATATGCTATCTACTCCTAGGCAATAACACGTACAACTTAATTTTGACTGGTCAAGGGAAAAAAAGCCAACACTCTTCCCCCTTAGTTCAGCACTACTTCAGAGAAAATTTATTTTGTGTTGGCATATAGTCTTGCTACAAATGAAGATGGCTGACAGCAGATGTAAAAAAAAATGACCTTGTCATTGTTGATCATCTCTTTCCTTTGGCAAATCTCTTATATTCAGGACATTGCTTCTTCCCCCTGCTTGATGTTTTTTTTGCCACTCCTTCAGTTGCAAGGCACCTCAGACTGAAACATCAACCCTTCCTTTATCTCGCTGTCCAGGATGATCTTGTGTTACCCTAATGATATATATATCTCTTGATATATACAGATATAGATATATATAGACATATATCTAATGATATATACATCTCTTCTATGTTTACTTCCACCCAAGTTCAAGGAGTATTCCTGTCTTTCTAAACCTTACTCACTAGTGTCCAGAACTCAATATTGCCAGCATAATCTTTTTTTTGGAATATTCTTGGAATAACTCTCTGTATACAAAGACTGTATACAAAACTGTATACAAAGACTGGGTGCAAAATCAGTTTCTTGCAGAAAATTACCTTCAAAATGACTAACAAAAGTATATTGCTTATTGTCCTTGTTTCAGCTGGGATAGCTGATTTTCTTCATAGTGTCTGGCGTAGTGCTGTTTCGGCTTTGGGAAAGAACAAGGTTGATAACACACTGATATTTCAATTGTTGCTAAGCAGCACTGTACAGAGCCAAGGATGTTTCAGTTTGTCAGCTTCTGATACTGCCCTGCCAGCAAGAGGACCGGGGGCACAAGGAGCTGGGGAGGGAACAGAACCAGGAGAGCTCACCTAACCTGGCCAAAGGGATATTCCGTACTATAGGACTTCACGTGAAGATAAACTATAAAACTCAGGGGAGCTGGCTAGAGTGGCAGCAGCTCCTTGGGGACTGGCTGGGCATCGGTTAGGAGGTGGCAAGCAACTGTTTCACACATCATTTGTTTTGTATACGTATATTATCATTACTGCTATTTCTCTCTTCCTTTTCCATCTTACTAAATATTCTTTATCTCAACCTATGAGTTCTGCTTTTTCTCCCCTGATTCTTCCTTCCATTCCATTGGGAGGGGGTCATGAGAGCAAATGACTGTAGGGTGTTTATCTGCTTACTGGGTTAAACCACAACACAACCTTTTTTTTGGCTTCAGTGAATACTAGTCTGATTCTCTCAAACTGACCTTCATGAAATTATCTTCCTAGCTCATTATTTTAATTGAATCAACTCCTGATATGCCTTCCCATTGACTTCAATTTTCATTCATATAATCCTCAATACTGTAGACCTACTGCTTACAATATCACAACTATTCCTGTTTTCACCTTAATAATATCAGTTTTGAGCACAGCTTCAACAATGCTTTTCTTTTCCTATCACTGCCCCTTACAAGAATAAGCCTGTGATCATAATCCTAAATCCATCCTCAATAACATTCTTAAAACTCCTCTCTCTCATAAGAGTAGCAAAACTCAACTTGAGAATTACATAGCAATCGGAGATATTCTTAACTACTGCTCATTAGCTAAGATACTTTATACTCCATAACACATTTTTGCCTTCTTCTTAGTCTTAATGGTCTGAAAGATGCACCAGACAATCAGTACATATTCCTATGTAACTATCAAATGACAAACACAAAAACAAAACACTTTTCGAGGAAAGAGAGTTAATAATGCTTATGAACTACAGTCAAAATTGTAGACTTTGGCTATGCAGTATATAAAAACCTTTTAGGGTTGAATATAGAAACAAGATCAGAAATATTAAGCTCTTAAAACATGTGAACTGTGTTTGTTGTTGTGGATGAACACGTTGGACTCATTGGTCCTTTTTTGTCTTAGACTTCATTCATATTTTTGTATGGCCTTTTTTGTTGTTGTTGTTGTTTGGTGGAAATTCATAAACCTCTGACTGCAGTTTGTCCCCTGAGTTCTAATCTATAGACTTGTAATTAGGAAGACCTGACCAATAAAATATAAAATATTATACACCAGTCCTTTTTTTGGTCTGCTAGATTTCTAACTGGCCTGGTCTTCTAACTAAATAGACTACTTTTTATGAAGTACTATGACACTAAATCACAGAAATTAGTTGCTAAATTATCTACATAGATGACATGCCATTTTCTTCTGTGAGCATACAAATGCACTTCAACAACCATACAACCACAACCACAACTATGTATTTATATGAAATACTAAAACAACTGTCACCCCTTTCTTTATCTCGCCTGCACTGAGTATTCAATGTAAAATCACCTGTCCAGTTGTTCTGCAAAAAACACTTTAAAAAGAAATGAATAAGAGGCATCCTGGAGACCTAATTACATATAAGCACTAAGTCAATTGAGATACATACAGATTGTTGGTCGAACAGTTATTTCTGCAACATTAATTATAGCTTGTTCATCACATCGTGCAGTGATGAATGCTAATATTTAAATTACATATCGCTCTAGTCCAAAATTTTAAAATATAAAAAACATTAATTTTCATAATTCTTTGATGTACGTATTTTTATACCCACTTTACATTCCCCATTAAAGATCAGAGCCATGGGATGGTTCCCCAAAGCCAAATATTCAAGTACCAAACCAAGATTAACATTTAAAATTTCATAGCATGCAACCCAATTGGCAGATTTTTAAACAGCATTGCTCTTCTGAGAATAGGGAAGAATTAATTAATAAGTGTAACCAGGCAGCGCCATTGAAAAACAAGAAATGCTTCATATAAGTAGGTGCACACTGAAATGAAAACGAAACCAAAGAAAATACCCTCATCAAAATCACAACACTATTGAAAATTCATTTCTAAGGCCAAATTTGTCCCATGTAAGTCAATGATGCTTTCTCATTGATTGTTTTGGAAGAGGAAAACAGATCTGAAATATCTGCATAACAAAGAAAACTGTCAAAATGAAGCATGGTTGACATTACAAAGTGTAATAAACTGCATGCATGCTGAATGTGTTTAGGAAACACATTACAAAGCACAAACACACGGGTTTAAGTCAGGCATAGTCTCATCATGATAACGCTATTTGCCTAACCTTTATAGAACTTACTCTGATAGGAAGTACGGATCCGTTTCGTTAAATCTGGATAAAAGTTAGACAGGCCACGCATGCAAAAGTTGTCTTTGGAACATGCCAGTACACCAGCATCAGCAGCAGGCAGAGGAAAGAGAGAAAAAACAGTCTAAAGTGAAAGGAAGTGATATCCATAACCAGCATCTAGAACAGCCAAGGTGAAGAAATTTCAGCAGATGCTTACCTTCCAATTGGGAGATATAACAATAAAAATAACCAAAAAAGTAAAAGATGTAGGATGGATGGTGAGAAAGCAGCTGAGGATCATTTTTCGGATGCATAGTTTCTATGACCAATCTAGAAGAGCATATTCTTTCTTGGCAGTCACCCAGTACATACCAGCAGACTCCGTTCTAGCAGCACAACTGGAATACTGCCTTAAAGGAGTAGCCAAAATTGTCCCTGACACATAGAAATCCTGCATGGTGCAATGCTGATAATAGCTGTTTCTACAACTTCTGTACACAGCTCAGCATCATGTTGCCTATGTTTGGCTGTTCAAATTACACTGGGAGATGAAGAAAGCTTAAAGCTGCTTGTCTCCTCTTTCCTCAACTGTTCCAAATTTACATCCTTAACACTTGGCACGATGAGAACTAAGCTTGCAATGATTAAATGCCTAGAAAGTGAGATAAGTGGTCTTTCAGGGATGGAAGTAGGGCTGAAGACTTACTTTTTATTCTCCAAATATTTCTTTCTACTGAAAGTACAATCATACTGAAAATGAAAAAAAGTTTATATGGACTCCGTGGAGAAATAGGATTTGATGATTTATTGCAGGATCTGCTGATGAAAATGCTAATGTCATAAAACCACTGTAATATCCTGCTTTTATAATTTTATATGTATATTTAAAACATTCAACGTTTCCAAACAGACTTTAAAATCTAATTCTGAAATTCTGCAGCTACATAAATTATATTTCATAACTCTCTCTGACTCAAAAACGTTATTATGGCATATGCAGAGCTAAAAGGTTTTGGTTTTTCCCCTTATACAAGTTAATTTTTTAGATAATCAAAAATGTCTGGCAAAATTTAACTGCAGTGATGAACTGATGTTTCTAACATTTAATACATAATAATAGCTGTGAATTACAAATGTGATCCTCTTGGCATCAAATTTAAGATTTGTTACAAGTGCATTTAGTAAATTTATATTAGGAGCTAACAAAGTGGCTGACTGGAGTTAGTTTTGCTATCTAAATAGCGTGTACCCAGCTATTATGTTATTTCCCAATCACAACTACCTATTCAATTAACAATGAATAACACTTAGCAGAAAGTACAACTAAGTTTAAACTCAAGTCTTACATATTTACTAAAAACAGAAAGAAAACAGCAAACAAAGACTATGCTTGAAAACTACACTTCAAGAGACTGCCAGAGAAGCAGTTTATTTCTCTACTTATGATTTTTAGAGACTCAGGAAAGGGAATTACTTGCTGACTTCCATCCCAAAATAATAAACTTCCTGAAATTTTTTGCTTGTGAGAAAAAGTATCAGTACTTAAAGCACATCGGGTTTCTTCTGTCAAGTTATAGAAATTCCATTGGCTGGCAGATAGTCATGCATGTCAAAAGCACTATAAAAAGCCACAGGCAAAAAAAATCAAAGAATGTCAAGCTCATAACCACAATATTTTAATTTCTACCTGCAGCAAACTGCTTGCTTTTTCGAGGTGAACGGGGCTGGCGTTGGTACGGATCACTTGATCCGTACAATTCAAGGGTTCCCATGCTCAGTAGTACGGTCTTTTGCATGAAGTCCACAACTGCCAAACCATTGCAGTTTCCAAATGCCACTCTGAGGAAAAAAAAGAAAAAAAAAAGTTCCTCAGAGGTATTAGTAATACATAGTTAAGTGGTGCAAAAAATGATTACTGTTTAGTATTAGGAATCCTGCAGCAAAATCTTCATCAGAAACTACTAAAGCTTACTTTCTGTAATTACAGATCTGTAATCCCAGATTGACAAAATCCTGTCCTGAAACATGGTAACTGACATTCCAGAAAGAAGACTATCACCTTTAAACTTCTGTGCAGAATGCACTGCAATAATGAAAAGCCCTACAATTTACACAAATAACACACGAACCTTGGAACAGTAAACCAAAAGGTTATGGAGTTCATAAACAGAAATAATTTGGAAACAGGTCAAAGGATTCACAAAGCAAACTTCAAACACAATATTTTTGCACAAATATATGCAAACATATGTAAGAATTCTTGCTCTGTGTAAAATTTCTGAAGTCTGTAAAGTATCAGTACATTGGTGGGAGTCAGACACCTAACACTTATTAAGGCTCGTGTCTTTTATGCCTTCAACATAGTGTATGATTACTGATTAATCTATCTGGTCAATCATCAATGAGAAAAAACATAAAAAACTGGCAATTAAATAGAGCTTGAGGAGTAAGATGCATACAGATATGCTCACTTGCAGTTCCATACAGAATTTAGTATTGTGAGGTTCATGGTTCAAATTTCTATTTCAGATCTCTGCTGCTCTTGCAAAGAGAGATTAGCACACACATTAAAAAGTTGTTCTCACAAGACAACTTCCAATAAAAATATGATATACATTAAATGACATTTAACATACATTCACCTTTTTTCAGAAAATGTACTTCAGTGATTCTTTCAAAATAACTTCTAAAATTTCAGATTCGAAAGGTAATTGGACTTTACTTGAGAAAATGGTCAGAATGATGCAAAGCAATTCAGTCTTTTAAACAGGAATAGTAAAAATAATAGCAAAAATTACAGTTTAACATCTCATATTACACTCTTCATGTGAAATAAAGTAATTTTTACCCAACAGTCAGGATAATAGCATCTTTTGATTATTTTTACTCTGACTTCAAATACCTTTGGGGAACTTCAAAGTGTAGCTGGAAAGAACATGATTTAGTGCATAAACAATAAATCAATGTATCTTAATTTTGAGTTACTTACAGTCCATAGGCAGAGTTTACAGCAAGACTGGTAATCTGTTGTGGAGGCTCACCATCCACCCACACCAACTGAATAACAAGATCTGCTTGATATCCAGGAGGCATTCGCACAGGTCGAGTCTTAACACTAAGGAGAGGTGCAAAATAAAAACAAATAAACAGATTGAGCCATGAAAAACAAATACTTCCCCTGAGAAAATATTAATGAAGCAGAATCCATTAATAAGACCACAGAAGTATGCACAACTGCAGCATATTTTGCATACACCTGCACATTGAGACTAGGCTTTCCAATCAGAACATGGATAATTTGGAAGAATTCCAGGTTTTGACTCTAATTTCTGCTGTAAAAATAAATCTGAAAATTTCAACATTCCCTAAATGAGAAACTCTGGAGAAGATGTAGATGAGGTAAACAATTTAGGTTAATAAAAATGATTTTTGCTTAACAATTTTGCTTTCCTTTTCTTTTTTCCAAACTATTGTATTTTCTCGTACTATACCACAGAATCACAGAATAATTAAGAGTGGAAAAGACGGCTAACATCAGCTATTTCAACCGTCAACCCATCAGCCATGCCCACTAAACCATATCCCTTGATGCCACATCCACACGGTTCTTGAAAATCTCCAGAGATGGTGACTCCATCACCTCCCTGTGCAGCCTTTTCCAGTTCCTCACCACTCCTGAGAATAAATTTTTCCTAATACCCAACCTGAACCTCACCTGGTGCAATTAGAAGCCAATACCTTTCATCCTATCACTAGCTACTTGAGAGAAATGGCTGATCCCCACTTTGCTACAAGTTCCTTTCAGGTAGTTATGAAGTGACAAGGTCTCCCCCAAGCCTCCTCTTCTCCAGACTAAGCAATCCAATTTTCTTCAGCCACTCCTAGTAAGACCTGTGTTCCTGACCTGCACTGGCATGAATAACCAACTCAGATGGAAAACCTGAAGGTTTTCTTCTGAAAATCTCAGGGATGACATTTCTGTGTTGTTGGAACTATCTTGTTCTGAAGTACGGCAAGAGAAGGTAGATGCAGCATCTTTCTGTACTGCACGTCATCACTGCATATCCAAAACTTCTGGACTTGACAATTCTATTTATCTGTCTAGTGCAAACAATTCTTATTTTCTTCTTAGGAGTATAATTACCTCATACGTGATCTAGTCTTTCTGAATGACTGCTTCCTACATAAAATCTGATAATCTGTTAATATAAATATTAACACCCTTTCATATTCTGTTACGACAAATTCAGTGACTTGCACAGCACATAGCAAAAGTGTAAGAACTCAATACTCTGTAAGTCTATTTATGTTCTTGTCTGGTAGAATTTACTTGATGATACACTGATAGAAGATACTACGCAAGAACAGCAATTCTTTAGATGCATTAACTATAAATACTGACAGTATATATATTACACATCTCCCATTTATTACAGGGTGGGCTAGTATCAAGAGAGGAAGTAGCTAGTCAATACACACATGGACAGCACAGACAGAAAAATTGCAGTTATTGGCAAATAATTATTTCTGCTGTCTGTGCTTCTCTATATATAGCACTGCTGTAAATAACCTAAGCAACACTGGATTGTAGATGTGAGATCTTTGCTGACTGGTTATGGAGAGTATCTTCTGAACATGACTATGATGTGACTCAGCAAGCTCTCCAAGCATTCTTGGTCCACACACCTAACATGGTAGTTGATCAGACCGGAAAAAAGAAACAAACTTTTATTGGGAATAAAAAAGTAAGCACTCTTCACAAGAGAAATGTTCTTAGCGTCTCATTCAATAACCATGCCCATCAGTTTGTTCTTAGCTCAGCTGAAAGCATCTGATGAGATGGAGGCCTTCGAGGCCAATTTGACTACCAGCAATCTATCATTCTTGTAGAAGAGAAAGCATATAGAAAACCAAAAGAAAACAAAACTATAAAACGATAACATGGCTATTAGCTTGATAACGTGAGCAGCACATTAACAGAAAACATACAAAGCAAATAGTGCTCTAACTCTGATTTTTTTCTGAAATCATGAAGAACAAAGGAGAGTACAGTGCATCTCATGCTTTCACACTTGTCTCCAAGGTGCTGTCATCTTGGCTGTTGGGCCCAGCCATGTCATGCAGTGAGGCTATTGGAGCTGGCTGTGTCTGGTATGGAGAAGCCCCAATGTCACCTCAAATAGGCTGGACATAAGGGAATACTTCTTCTCTGAGAGCAGTCAGCTGATGAAATGGGCTGCCCAGGGAGGCGGTGGAGTCACCAACCCTGGAGGTGTTCAGGAAACATTTAGATGTTATACTGAGAGACACGGTTTAGTGGGAAATATTGATGATAGGTGGACAGATGGATTAGATGATCTTAGAGGTCTTTTCCAACCTCGGTGATTCTATGATTCTACTTTCATCTTTTAATCATAACTATGCTAGAACATAAGATTTTCAACAAGCCTTCCCTTCCTTAAATCAAATAAGAATCCTTTAAGGAATTCACCGCAACAATCAATTGTATTCTTACTGATTTCAAAAGCACAAAACAGTTTCCCACTGAGATCTACTAAATAACTTATCTGTGCCTCTTCCATTGATTTTAATGGTTCACATAGATGATTTAAACATATGTCTGAGATTCAGTTGCTAACTGAAAGAGAAAGACAAATGTACAGGAGACCAAAAACTATAGTCAATTATGCATGGACAATGCCACAATATTGCTTTTAAATTTTAATGCCATTTTCAGAAGCAAAATTGATGAAAATATCTGCAAACCAGACAATGTTCATTTAAACTGCTTTTGAAGTAATTGAGACATTTAAAATATTTAATAATAATTAAACTGAATTAATAATTAATTCACTAAATGAGGACAATACTTATCAGCTGTGCACTATAATTCTTTTGAAATTATGATTTATGGAGTTTTGTACAGAATTCCGTTCTGAAACTCTTTAAACCTGTATTTTATCTGTGTGAGAATATATTCATTTACTCCAAAAAGTAGCAGTGTGTACTGTAGCAGACAACAGTTTGTCTCCTCCTAAAGTTAAACACATAAAATACACAGTTCCACACAGTGCAACTGTTTCATAACTGTACACTTTTAAGGCTCTTCTGTGAGTATGAACACGGTTTCCTTTCCCTATGTGTAATAAGATGCATATCCTTCTTTCACAGATGATGATTTTAGCATTATACTAATTACTCAAGGAACTTTACATATTTTTGTGGACTAAAAAAAAATAATTTCTCAGAAATTCCATTATCTATTCCATAGCACTTGTGTTCCATTAAAAACTGTAGATGCAAGATGAATAATTACTTGTAGATCACACTGGAAAATTAGTTGAACCTTCACTGCAAGGGTTTATCTTCACCATAACTTACTTTCAGCGTGTTAAATTCCTTGATAATTACATTGCTTTAATTCTTTTGTTTGTTCTATATTCTGGTTCGTTTTATTTGTGTCACATAATATGATTCACATTCTTTTCTTGATAGTTGACAGATCATAAAACACCTGACAAGAATGCTTACTAGAAAGATGAAGCTTTGAACAATGGCAGACTTACCTAAGACATGGGATACTGTCCTTCATCATTCCTTCACATGCTACAGTGTTGGTACTACCTGAAAGACTCTTTAAAGAAGGAAGCTGGGAAGAGGCATCTGGAAATTGAGGAATTATTTCCGGTTCAGGAGTAATGATATCTTCTACTTCATACTGCAGTCGTACCTCTAGTGACTTAAATAAATAAAAAGCTGTCACAATTTAATAAGAAAGCTAGCTGAAAGTTGTATTATAAATAAAAATTAGAAGCTTTTTTTTTCCTTGAAGATTAAAAAAAACCACGTACCATAATCATTCACAAGTAAAGAATACAGTCATTTGTTTTTTATACAGCCTAACAGTAGAATTGCATAGGAACTTGTCATTTACCCTACACCGATGGAGAAATAATTAAGTATATTCTTCCAGTACCGACTTTGTTCCAAGCTTTTTATTATAAGTGAAAGAATACAGTTTTCCAGAACTTAGTATGAAAAGAGATATTACTCTCTCTCAAGTAAACAATATTTTAGCATAAGAAAGCATCCATCAGAGTCAATGTCATGAAAATTTTCTGCTTATTGTTCATTACCATTTTCCTAAGCCAACTAATTAAAAGAATGATCATCAGCTTCCTCTCCATTGCAACTACAACACCATCTCTAAAGGACAACTTTTAGCCAGTATGCAGAAGTTTAAGTGGGTACTAGTGACCCATGAACTCCATCTGTCCTCATGCAGGGTCAGGAGCACAGAGTTCCATATTCTTTAAATTGTACACGAGTTTGACAGATTCCAGAATGCAAAGTCTAAACCACTTATCTTTCACTTTCTTTCTGCTCAACCATGCTTCCACTCTTTCCACTAATTCAGGAAATCTTAACTGAACGAATTCCAAAACAAATGGGAAACTGTACAGGGAGTTCAAATCTATATAAGTAATCATCTCAAAATATCATAGTAAATATTGGTCAATTCTTTCTACCTCATGAATTATCCAAGGAGAACTTCATGTTGAAAACAATTTAAAAAAAGGTAATTCCCTCAAAGAGATAATGTCTTGGGAATACTAGCTGAACAGTAATCTCAGTGCTGGTTTCTTGAAGTGCTCATACGCAATTGAAAATGTATGCACTGCAAACTCCTCATTTAATGGTCTCTCATTGAGACATTATCTTCACCAATACGAAGATGGAAGCAGTAAGTGCTACCATTTCAGCAGTGGTGACAGCAACGTGAAAGACAAGCCATGCACAGCTGTCACACCACAAAATTAAGACCATCTCAATCAGCTCAGCCACAGATTACTACGCAGGAGACTGTTCCTGAACAGAAAGTTGGCTTCAATGCACTGGAAATGACAGTGGCAATGTTGAAATATTGCAAAGTTTGTGCCAATTGGGTCCAATGAATGCTCAGAGAGTAACAGAAAGAATGCTATATTCAATTTTTTCAGGATCTGTTGAACCTATACAAGACTATAGGTGAGCGTTTCCTGAATTATACCGTTACTGGTGATGAAACATAGCATCATTACTATGAGCACTCATAGTGTGGAGACATGAGAATTCTCCACTGTCAGTCAGTCCACAATAAGTAAAGTGGTGTGTACTGTCTTTTGGGATAGAAAAGGGATGATCCTCCTGAATTTCCTGGAACATGTCCAAACCATCAGCTCTGACTTTCTATGCTGTGACAGTGATTAAGCTGAAGGCTCAAACCTCCAGAGTAAGGCCAGAGAAGAAGAACCCTTTTCTCTTGCAACACAGTAACACCAGGTTCCATAGACTGTGGAGCACATTGGCAATGTGCCTACCCCATCCACTGCATAGTCCAGTTTTGGCATCTTCTGACTTCCATCTGTTTGGGCTGAGGAAAGATGGACTGCACTGGTAACACTGTCCTAGAAATGATGCTATTGTGGCAGCTGTGAAACAGTGGGTCACCTCCACTGGTGCAAATTTTTATGAGTGTGGCATACAGGCTCTTGTTCTTGTCTGATGAAAATGCGTAGCTAATAGTGGTGACCACACTGAAAAAGAGTGTTTTGCAGATGAGAATCTGCTCTATCAACTAGTGTTATTGTGCTCTTTGTATCTGTTGTAGTTTTCAAATAAATAAATAGGAGACATTACTTCTGGAGCAACCTACATACATCCTGAGACTGACAAACTCATTTTCAGTATAGACAGAACTATTGAATGTAAAGTCAGGTACATATTCCAACAAACGCTCCTGTACAGTGACACAGACGTTTTTGTCAGGCTAGAATTACAGCCTTTTTAAAGGACATTAAAATACCCTCACTGTAAAAAAATTCTTCCACATATTTATGTGGAACTTCCTATGAGCCATTTTTTGGTGTTTCCTTCTTGTCCTATCATTACATCATTCAAAAGAGTCTGGCCTCATCTAATTGCTTCCTGCACGGTAGGTATTTATAAGCATCGATAAGATCCCCTCTCAGTCTTCTCTTCTCCAGGCTGAATCAACCCAGGTCTCTCAGCCTTTCCTTGTAAGGGAGATGCTCCAGACCCATTTAGATTGCCTTTCTCTTAAGACTTGTCTGCTGTTGAATATTTTAGATGAATGAAAGAATATCTTAGAAGTGTTGTTGAACCAGTCTATTAGAAGTGGTTGTCACTACTGTGCAGAAATGCAAGGTTTAAACTAAAGTTTAACTTGCTGTATGATGAGTAAGTACCAGCTGACTGCAGAGCAGTTAAAAGAACATGAACTGTGTGATTCTATCTGAAATGAAGTGACTGCTCAAGACATGAAGACTGAAAAAGGAGTATGTGAATAGGATTGAAGCTCAAGATATTTAAGAAAATAACAACTACACCTTGCTTTTCAAATAGTGTCCATTTTGAGGGAAGCAAAGTCAATATAAGCCAGAAAAAAAAATTAACTCCTTTTGTTTTATTAAAGTGACTGATAATTTTCAGTCCCCTTTCATTACAAATTTTATGAAAATAAACTGAAGATACGAAATAATTGACCTGAGTAATGTTATCTAGGAAAAACATACATCAGTCAGTACCACAAGAGCACTAAGCACAACAGAGATGTACTGTACTGAAGTTCTAGAAGTGAGCTACATCAGACAACCATCCTATAGTACGTTACTATTAAAGTAAGAAACAAGAGAGCTGGATCCCAAAACCTCACTCAGTTTTTATCATCATCTTAAGTACAATCAATATTTCATTCAAAAGGTTTTAAATGGAATACTCCTAAATCTGTGTTTATGCAGTTGTACACTGACACAGAAGTCAGTTTCATCTTTCACATTTCATAGAGATGGCGTTATTTCATAAACAAAATTCTGAATGACTTACCGCAATTTCAGTATTTACTTCATGTTTGCTGAATCTATAAACAACCACATACGCAGAAACTCCTGCCACACAGAAAATTCGGCTTTCAGGACACCAGTACATCATTTGAACTGCAAAAGGGTCTTCTTCCACAATCTCAGCTGTTGCTTTTCCTTCCCCTGGCTTCTGTTTTTCAAAGACTTTTGATGTTTTTAATTTGTACAACATCTGCAGTGTAACTGGAATATATTAAAACAAACAGAAAAACCTGATTAACCATAAGCAAATCAGTTATAAAATTCTTCAGTTCCCATGTTCTTTTCAATGGTAGCACAACAAAGAATTACATAAGGCCTAAGAAGAGAAAAAGATGAGTATTATACAGTACAGATTTTATTTTGGTACACTGGTACACCAGTACCAGTAGGATTATGTATTTAATATTTACAAATGGATATTTGTCTGTGAAACACTTTTTATTAGCTTCTGAAGCAGAATGTAAAAGGTGATTATTAGTTGTACGTTCATAACTAGGCTTACACTCAAGCTCCATTTTCTCAATCACATGTGAAACAAAGATTTATTTTGTCTTGCTATAAAGACTGTATGGAGTTCTAAGTGAAAAAATGTGGAAAATATTCTGGTGGCCTGGCAAGACAAAGTCTTCCTGAAAGGAAGATGCTCTGATTTTCTTGACTAATAAGCATATCTGTATTAACACCTGGCTATAAAAACTTTAATATCTAGAAGCTTTATTCAAGAGTACGTCTGCAATACTGCGAATTTTGGAGATAATAGGAATTAAAATTAACCACATTTTGCTTTATAGACATTGCTCTCTGCTGTGTGTTACTGTTTTGTTTGCTTGTCTTTTCTTACTACTTTTGCATGAATTTATCACACTAATCAATCACTGTGTAAGATCAGAAAAAGTCATCCAGGCCACTACCTATTAGGGTGTGTATATACATAAAAGTAAAGCTGTTGCATATATTACTGTAACTGTGCTAGATCAACCCAGCTATCCTGGGCAATAAACAATGACAAGATGGAAGAGCCTTCTAGTTATGTAATCAGATAGCAAATACATCAAAATTACATTTTCTGTTTGCTGGTCACATACATATACTTCTAGGAATCTTAATATACACGGTATCTCCCCAGGGAGGTGGTTGAGTCACCATGCCTGCATGTATTTAAAAACCATTTGGATGTGGTGCTCCAGGACATGATTTAGCAGAGGGGTGTTAGAGTTAGGGTAGTATGGTTAGGCTGTGGTTGGACTTGATGATCTTTAAGGTCTTTCTGAACCTGAGAAATTCAATGATTATAAATTTTCACAAATGCAGCAAGTGCTTCTGTAATGAACACATCATTCTACTGAGTTTTGTGGCGGTGGAAAGGCCTCAAGATGCCCTTGATCCCAGTGTCAAATTTAGACTGGCAGTGTGAATTAGGGGCAGACTTCTTGGGTCCACACGTACTAAGACAGGAAGAATTACAGAATCATACAGCACAAGTACAAGGCAAGATTCCATGCCTTACACTTCTATGAATTATTAGGCACCATTGATACATATTTTGTGCAAAGATAAACTTGGAAAACTGCTTCAGTGGCTTAGCATTTGCCTGTCTCCCAAATATCTATGTTTTTAGATTAAAATTAAAATATGACTAAAAGCAAAGTACTTTGTTCCTTCAAATAAGAGCAGGATATTCTGTTTGACGTGAGTCCTCAAATTAAATTTAAATGTTGTTTCAAAAGCTGAGATATTGTAAAGCTTTGTAATAATTAAAGCTTTATAAATTGTAAGTACTAAGTATGGTACCGGTAATACTGTAAATGTTCTGAAAAGCAGGACTAAGGATGTCAGAAATGCATGGAATGTTTTGTTACTGTTAAAGAGATCCACGAATATTCTTCCTTATCTAAACTTTTACCTCTATGAACAGCTCCTACTGCAGCAGGTATATACATGTTAGAGAGTTATGTTTATATCCATTGAGAAGCTTTTCTATTTTTTTCCTTTCCTCATTCTCTTGTCCTCATTAGAATTCTTTTATTTTTGGTAATCATGATAGCTTGAAAATGCTGCATGATGCAAACTCTAGAAAGAAACTCTAAGAAAGATGCATCTTTTTTTTTTTTTTTTTTTTTTTTACAAGAAATGGAGTCTCATTTTGTCTTTGATAATCTTGATGAGTGAAAAGATTTGGTATTGGGCAAAAGCAAAAATATTTGACAAATGAAATTTATCTTACATTAAAGTATCATAAATGCTCTCCATCTTTGGCTAGAAATGATAATAGCATTAATCATGCCCATTATGTGGTGGGATGAGGAGTCAGCAGGCACTTTAAGTATCGGTATAGTCAGTATTATCATCATATCAGACTGTTTATTAGGGTCAAACAAAATCTCTCTATGTCTAGCATTTCAGATAAGAGTTTCTTTCATGCTCACCTCTTCAGGAAATGGGAAGAGACTGTTAACTCATGAAAGAGATGTTCTATCCTGAGAACCCAATATTACTGAAGAGAGAGAATACAAGGCAACTAACTATGCTGCAGCATTTATGAAGCACAGAGATGTTATTTGAAACGAAATACCATAGCTTTCAACAAAACCATGTGTGTATTTTTAATAAATACATTTTAATAATAAGCACCAGATGTATTTTCTATAGGGAAAAATGCTGTTCTCTGATACATTTAATTAAAGCTAAAATACATGGAATAACTATTTTCTGATGCTTTTTCCTGCTAGGATGAATGGAAATGTTCATCCCAATCAATTCCTGGAATTTGAGACTGGACAAGTAAAGATGCAGGTCTTTAACTAAGATGTCTTACTATATTTTAATGTTTTGTTTTTATCTAGCTGTAAAAAAGACTACATTATATCACTGGGGCTATTTCAGCTTACTGTTTTATATACACAATAGGATTATGCCTATGGAATTATTTAACAGTACTTCATTCTTCCTAGGTTTTGGTACATCAGATCTAAAGTTTTTATCCCTATCCTGGACTTCCACCTCTTCTCTGCTTAAAATATTCCATTAATAGTATTTTTCTCCTAATTTAATCAAAGTTGCTTAATGTCACCGGACCATAATCTAGTAACAGCATTATAGATACTAGTATTCATACTGTAACACATCACGTATTACATGTAAAGATATGTGTGTTTATGTGTGACTTTTCAGCATTGTACGAAAGTGAACTTCAAAAACTTACTGGCAGAAGCATCCCAAAACTTTACTGATCCATCTGCATGGCTTAAAAAAAAATAAAATTAAATGTGTTAAAACATTATGCATTTAAAGAACATTTTCTGCTTTCACTGAGTGATTAATAGAGTGGAAAAACTGTATTTTGCTTCTGTGTTAAGCTTCTCCATACTTTAATGACAATATATGATGGTGTATCTACTAACCATAAGGAAATATTTTATTATTAATATGATTGATGAATACCTTTTGATAAAATCCCTATAGAGAACTAAGCTGACTACGATTTTTAAGATCACAGCAGCACGAAATTAATTCATTTACTAATGCCAAGTTTATGATGAAGCACTTCTGGCCTCGCAGTGCACAAGTATCAAGCACATAAGCCCAAGAACTCTAAAAATGCCACGTATATCCAACTTTTGAAAAGTAAGAGGTCAAGTTCATTCTGCTTAGCACCTAACAGCTGTGTTCTTTTTATTAATGGAAAATAACATTTGAAATACAATTGCAGAAAGGAGACACTTCTGTTTACAATAATTTCCTCTTCTCCTTACTGATACTATTGCACATACCATAAAACAGGTTTTAAGTATCATTGATTACAACAATTTATCAAATATACTGTTATCATCAGTGTGTCTGAGACCAGAGAAAAATAGGAGTGTATCATACAAGAAAGCTTAAGAGTTTCTGTTCTACAGGATGTCTCTTTGAAAATCCATCATGCATTGGTCTTAGGGCTTCCACTGCAATTTGGAGCCTTTTTATGCCTTTTTCTATGGGACTGTCCACCACTTAAAAGTTGAAATAATCCCAGTGCAACACATCTCCACTAATGATATGGTATTAAAATGACTTCCTAAATCATCCAAAGATACAAAATCCCCAGAAGGCCCAAGGACAACAGACATAGAAAAACAGCCGGATCCCTTTTCATGGCCTTCAAACAAATAAATGGATTGCAATGAATTCCCTTTTTCAAAGATTCCACCTTCACAAGCTGATTTCACAAGTAGACTTGCCATCTAACACCAGGGCCTCAATCAGTAATTCTTAACAGCAGTACACCCTTGAACCCAAGGCTCTATTTTCTACAGCAAATGGGAATTTCTGTGATTTTATACCCAAAACAAAAGCTACATACCTCAACACAAGAGGTTAGGACACACATACCATGTCAAGAATCAACACTTGCCCACAGACAACCCACAATTAAAAGTTCCAGACACTAACATTTTAAAAGAACAAATCCTCAGTTTCATTCTCACCCTGTAATAATGATTTCAGGATATGTCTGAGCTCCAAGATTCCATGCTCCACCACTGATAGGCCACTCCTAAATGAACAACAAGAGCATAAAGATCAAAGCTAATCCTGATGAATTTTGCTTGGTTGATTTTTAGACTTAAGAGCAGACAATATCTTCTTCCAAAAAGCAATACATCTAAAAAAAAGAAGTGGAAATATAGTGTACCATTCAAGGCTTTTAAAGTTTATTAGCATTTTACAAATTAATTCTTTTAGGTTTTGTTTTTGTTTTTTGTTTTTTGTTGTTTTTTTTTAATTTACTTTAACAACTAAAGTTCTATCTTTTTTAATGATTATTACATAGCTAACACTGCAAACATTCAAAACGGGAAGTAGAGGAAGGAGTAGTAAACACTTTTGCTACTGTTTTCACATTGGAGCTTCTATAGGATGCTGATTAGAACTGAGATTCCATTCTGAGGATGGAGACTACTGAAGAAGCTGGCCCAGAAAAGATGGGAAACAAGAAACTGAGCATCATGCTATGGGATATGAAATAAGGGAATGCAACTTTCACAGATTGTATGAAATCATCATCTTTTCCTTGCCTCTTATTTATTAGTGGAAAGACTCTCATTCTTTTCCTTGGTCTATGCTGGTTGAAGAAAATGGTGGTCTGTGCCTAAAGCTTGTTGGGAACAGGTACAGAGTGAGTAAAGATTTGTACAGTGTGTGAGAGGACAGAAAAATCTAGGAGAAAACTGGTTCTGAGAACGCACAGAGAGGATGCATGTGAGTACAGAAAGGAGTGAGTGGGAATGGCTATCTATATTCTGCATGTTTATCATGTGCATGCACAAATAAAGCAAGTTGTATTGAGAATTTATAAGGAGCACAGATAGATACGCAGTGAAATTTTTAGACAACTATGTATGCAAATTTAGGATAAATAAGCAGACAAATTCTAGTAAGAGAAAAAAACATTTTCTGAAGTACTTGGCTGAATTAAGATCTCAAAGAAGTATATAAGGCCCAGATTTTCAGTTCAAGGAAAACAAGGCAGCTCTAAGGAAAACTATTATTTAAATATAAAAAGAAAACTGATGCCCAATTTGCTTACTCAACATTTTTTCTTATTTATTTATTGTGATGGATTAGTTTTAAGCAAAACATAAACTAAATTAATACTTGAAACGTATAAAGTAATTCAATTCCCTATTTTCATTTCTGCAGCCTGTGTTATTTCTAAAACCCTTACATTAAGACTACAGTAGCTCAATAGAATAACCAATATCTTTATTTAATGGAATGCTGTCAACCTTCAAATTCCACGAAAGATCTTCTGCTTTGCATTATAATCATTTTATACACTACTTCTGTCTTCGGTACAGATAACATTTTCAGACAAATTCAAATTTTACATCGATGACATTCTTTTAAGTCAGTCTGATCTCACATAATTCCAGCAGCCTAATGATGAATTTCTGCATAATGGCAGCTTAATGCTTATGGTTCAGTGACGGTAGATATTACTGAAAGATGAATATCAAGCCATAAGAAATCACAGAAGGAAAGCTGCATCTAATCTGCAGGCTGGACTAACTTGAAATTGGTTATTAAAGAAGTAAAATGAAAAGAATTTGGTAAGATATTTCAAAGACACGGGTAGTACATGTGTTTTCTTTCTCGAAAAATACTGGTTTTGTTTACCTTATTGCTGTATCCTTGCTTTTTATGTTTTGCTCCTACAGAATAGAGTACAGGAATCAAATCTGGAGGACAGTCGGCAAAATATTCTGTGCAGGTGACAGGTGACTCATGAATGTCAATAGGATATGGATTTTCAAAGATTGGAAAACTAGTCAAGGAAGACAATTTATTAGAAGCATGGTGACACACTGAGCCATGTAAGAACATATTCATATTAGAAAGTATATAACACAATCTAAGTAGAATAATTACCGATAAAGTACATTTTTCATTATTTTTTAAAACATACATATTGTTTTTAATGTCAATAGAAACTTCTAGTTTCAACAATGTACAAATTCCTGTGCTGTGACAATAATTTGTTTGTTTTTTTTTAATAAATTTTTTCAGCATCTCATAATCTCATATATGAGATACAGAAATCATATATTTTCTAGAAGCTTCAGGTTCACTCATATGATATATACCATGACCCAAGAATTAACTATTCAACTGTAGATTTTATATTTAACAGTTCTGTTCATTGTGTTGATCTACTACTGATTCTACAGCGAACAACTGCATTAACAGATGAAGTCGATTTCAGTTTTCTTCCCACTTTCATCAGTTTGGACTATCTGAAAAGAAATAAGGCCTCATTTCTGGCAGATTACACAATGTTATTCACAATTCAAAAATGCAAGAGATTTGGTTCTGATTTCACTTGCATCCATTTTATACTGCTGAGATGACAGGAATTACTCTTGAAAGTGAATGAGGTCAGAATATGATTTACGTAAAAATGTTTCAAATCTTCACAGAACAATTCTGTTCTTAATTATACCAGTGTGAATGTGGATGCACTTTTTGACACAGAACAAAACAAATAAGAATCACATCCTGCATTATATGATATATAAGAATACTGATTTTGATGTAAAAGTATTATTTATCATTTAAAACAACAAATGGATCATGAAGGAATCCCATAGATCCACACAAATCAGTGCTGTTATTTACTGAGATACTTGAGTAAATACATAAGTGATAGTCCTGGTGGAGTCCAGTGAAGTCAGACATGCATACAGGCGCTAGCTGAGTGTAATTTCTAACATGAAAATTCAGGTTGTAATTCAGCAATTGTCCATGAATCACTTAACTTTGATGCTGTGTTTGAGGGCTATACTGAAGGGACTGTAGATTTAGATTTATTCCCAAACTCAAAAGCAAGCTTCTATTGATCAGCTTTTGATCCTAGCTTTTAAGGTGGAAGTAAGCATATAGACTGAGTGGTTTTGTGCAGTAAAATGACATTCCATTATATCATTCGGATTTTTTTTTAATCATCAAATTCTAAACAGTTAAGAAGAATCCATAACTTCACATAAGATTTTATACTTACTTGCTTTGTGTCAGGTCAACAACAATGAGATCTTTTTCCAAAAGCACAACTACAGCATAAGGTTCTTGAAATTCTGTAAGAGAGGAATCAGGTATAAAAAACAAATTCTTCCACTAGTCATTTTAAGCATGCTAGTCACATTTATGTTCTCTAAATACTTACAGTATATTGAACAAAATCTAGAAAGCATTTGATTAGGGACAAATAGGAAATAAGAAAAGAAATGACTTTCAGGCAGAAACAGTACTAGCATTGTATGGAAACTGTTGAATCACAGCCTGAACCACTGATTGATCACCTGGGGAAAAGACTGGCTCAGCCCTGGGAGCACAGGTGAAGGCAATTCAGCTGTGTGACCAGAAGGGGTGAAGCCTGGCTGCACCTCTCTTAGACCCCATTTAAGGGCTAACTGCCACGGGGGAAGGATCTCTGGTTGGAAATCCTTCCTTGGTGGAGCTTCTCCCTGGGAACCTGGGTTTGTCTGATACAAGTTCTTTCATAGCACCTGTCTATTGTGCTAGTCCTTAAGTCATTGCACCCTTGCTGTAATGCCTTTCCTATTGTATTGATCTGTCCAATTGCTAAAGGCATGATGTAGTATTCCAGCATGATGGAACACTGAAAGTAACAGAATGTGAGGAGGTTGTGTGCATTATGGCGTTGTTGAATCCAATTGTTACTCAGACAATGACCTTTTTGCTGCCCAGCATTAATACTTTTTCCATTCAAAACTATTCCTTAAAAACAGACTGTAGACAGCTAGTCCAGTCCACTTGATATACAGTGTGTTTGTTTCCAAAGCAATCTGAAAGGAAGATTACAAGAAGTCTTCTCTATATCTTCATTTTAACAGTAACAAGGAGATTTAAAGAAACAGCATAATAGGAGTATTCTGATGACAGCACAAGTGCTTCACATAATACAGTTGTGCTGCAGACACAGTGAGAGTGAAATACCTAAATTGAACTTTGCACAGAAAGAACTGCAAATTAACTTTGATTACTGAAAATTACTTTTATTGCATGACATTAAAACAAATAGAGTTGTTTTTAATATATATTTGATTTATCATTTTATAAAAGACTTACTTTTCTGACTGAGGGCTTAAAAAGATAAACTTAGCTTCTTTTTTACTTGCAGCTTTCTTAATTTCATTTTCCAGAATTTTCTGTGACTTCAGCATTTGGCAGTCTCACAATATGTAGCGAAACACTTTAAGATACATAAGCACTTATGTTTGATTAAGAATAATAGTATTTCACACTAGCCCATGTTTCAAATTGCGTATCTTGAAATTTATGCATTTTTTGTTTCCCACTAATTACTTGTCTTTTTTATGTTCAGAATCCAAAACAAGTTTCAGTTACTTTCAGCAATAGGGGATTTTTGAGATGGAGACGACTGTAAGAATGGAAGTTCCCGGACAGGAATTCAGGTATTAGAGAAGTTCAGTTCATTTATACTTTCTATAATTCTATTTTGCTTAATGAACTCACCATTCGGATATGGGGTTTCACAAAGAGTTAAAAAATCAACTATAGGATGATCCATTTCAAGAACTGTAATTGCTTTCCCATGCATAATCGTTAGACTTGGTCTTCGACAAGCCTTATCATATGACAACCCACCGGAAAATATCACAAATGGTTCACTGTATTAAATATAAAAACATGGTAATCATAAGTTTATGTAACAAGTTTACATTAGAGGTGTAATGTCTTAACAGCTTTAATATCTTAAATAGCTTTGCAAAAAAAGACAAAGGAAAGATTCAGAGTGTATTAATTCACGAATGTAACACTGAAACATACCTGTTTTTACAGGTTTTGTACTCCACTTTAAGAATTGGTTTACAGGATTCAGGTTTTTTTCCGTCTCTTTGAATTTTTCCTAAGGAAAAAGAGGATGGAAACTGTATTAAAACATCAGGATAATAGAACTAATCAAACTTTCAAACTAAAATACACACCTTGAAGCAGTTACATAATCAGAAAGAGTGGAATTTTAAAGCTACGTGAAATGGCAAGTATTAATGCCTATTTCCCTAAAATATGCGTGTTTACATTTATTATAGCTTTAAGTTTTTACTGCTATGTATGTCTGAAGGATTACAGATAACAATTCAAAAATTTGAAAATAATTACACTCAGCTAATAATTATTGAATTTCACTGACAGTACACCTTTTCCTGATCAAGGATGAGCATAAAAAGCTTAATTTTTTTCCCAATACAGTTAGTTGAAAAAGAAAATTAAATAAAAAATACATTTTAAAATCATGGGTTCTTTGTTCTGGCTTAGAGAAAAGTCACTTGTAAACAATAACAAAAATCCAAAACAATTTTATTTTTCTTACTTTGGAAAGTCCCTGCCTTTTTTTTTTTTTTTTTTTTCAACAATAAAGACACCAGTAAACAATGAGGTATTGCACTACTTTACTGTACATTTTTACTATCAAAATTACCATGTGGGATTGTGGTCTGGAAAGGTCTGTTAGGACTTTTCAGGTTCCATAAGGTCAGGCTTCCATCAGAGTGACTGCACATAAACTGTTTCCCTTCATGGTGCCAAGCAACAGAATGAATAGCCTATGGAAATGAACGAACAACTTGAGAGTGAAAAGCAATACACTGTTTACACTAATGAAATTTTAATATGTGACTTTGAATTATATTTATCTAATTGTATATCAACAGTTGGATGAATTTTGTTTGTCTAGAGTCTGTTAACTGCACTTTTTAGTAACCAATAGCTATAATCTACACTAATTCACAAAACAATCCGTTATAAATGCTAACAGGGTACAAGAATGGGAGAAACTCTACTGAATCAGATCAAAATTGAAGAAACAGGATAATAAGTAAAAGGTATACAAACAAGGAATATGCAACACAATAAATATTTCTGATTGTTCCTTTGAAGTATTTTATTTCCCAAATGTATGGGAATGCTATGCAATGGGGTTTACTGATAGCATACAACAGATGCAAGCTTTCTAAGAAGATGTATTAGAAAAAGTAGAAATAGTTATCAGTTGTTGAATCTTTTTACCACCACATACCAGGGTTTCAGAGAAAGAACCTTGAAACCTCTTATGCATCACATAAAAACAAAATGACAGAGAGGGGTTGTTTTGTTCATAAAGGAATGATATAAGATTATTTTGGAAAACCTAAGTGCGTCAGAGAAGGGGAATATCACACTCCTGTGTACACAATGCAAATAGAATATATTGAATTTTACATATAGCAAAGGGGGACGCTTCAAAAATTAATCAGATGTTCTTAGTGTTTCATGAATAATTAGTGGAACTGATGGGCACAAGATATCAGAAGTTAAAAAAGGGATTAGACACTTAAAATGAGTAACGATAACATCCACAATTGTATCTAACAAGCTAAAAAGCAGGGCTAGTAACTAGCAGGAAAAAACTGTACCAAGCTGCTGGTTAAACTATCTCAGCTGTTAGGTGCCACCTGCCAACATAAGTTTCCTGTTAAGTGGAGCTGAGAAGAAATGCTCCTCAGCAGTCACAGAGAGTTGTTATAACACAGCTCAAACTCACCTGATAGATTGCTCCACAAAGGTAAAGAAATACTTAGGATTTGTTTTGGAGGTCTCAAATGGGAGTCACGACTAACACTAAATGGTAGGGCATTAAACAAGTCCCTAATTCTCTCTCTGCAAGAATATGTCTAGTGTTCTGATCTACTTCTTTAGCAACCTCAAAAAAACTGAGCTGTTATTTCATTAGAACAAGAGTTTATAGCGGTAGATGACTCATATGAATGTTCACACAGCGTATACACATAACATATCACTCCAGATTGGGTATGTCTCTCCTGTAGTATCAACAGCGGCTGCATATACACTCCATCTTCTCTTATACTCAGCATGTAATAAATCTAGGCATACTCAACACTGTTGCAGTTGTCTCCCAAGTACAGAATTCCTCCACTGAGAAGAAATGACGGCTATTCAAGGACCACTTTTAACCATAGTCTGAACAAGCACCACACTCATCCTATCACTTAAACCTTAAGAATCCTTTGTATTAGCAGTACTGCAGGACCATTGCATCAGATTTGATGTTTCCATAATGGTACAGTGTTTGAGAAAGGTGGGAAGGGAGATGTCATTTGGGAAATGTCTCTGAGAACTCTGCAGCTTTGTTCTGGAGACATGTCATAATGAGATATAATATCTATGCTACAGAAGGCTCTGAATATGCTTTGATGCAGCCAGTCAAACTTTTGAAGTCTGCATAAGAAGATGGTTGTTTTTTCTGGGAGTTGCCAACTATCAGTAATAATTTGTAGGTATTTTGAAGCATCTGCCTTGCTTGTGTACTCTCTTTTATATTGATCCATGGAGGAAAAAAAAAAAACAACAACTTTTGACAGAATAAAGAAAACGGTTTGCAAGCATCTGAATAGCTCATACTCAATAGATATGATCACTACTGGGAAGATGACAATCATAATTACACCAAGAAACAAACTTGCACTTGACAACTCAAAGAGCGGGCACAAGAGTCTAAGCAGCAGCTCCACTTTGGCATTAGGTGTTTCACAAGGGAAAACATCTTAGTCTCTTGAGATTTGACATAGTAGAGAAGGGCACACTGCATAAGGAGCTGATGAGCCGAGACAACTTCTGGCTTATCTCAGCTGTGCTAAAATAGAGATAAGACTAATTTTATCTCTAGTGAGTAGAACATAAGTAGCAGAGAGAAGCTTTAAAGGGAAGATGCAAGGCTTACAAAAACACCTAGTAGAGAAGTTCACAATAATGCAATACGGCCTTTCCTACCCTTGGTGAGAACCTCCCTCATATGAAATAAGCAGATGTTTTATGTATGAAAGGTTTCCAGCCTTCTTGATATGAAGTATGGCATAACTAAGATACAGTAGAAAACACAATTATGAATGTTTCAATTACAGGTTTGTGAAGCAGGGACAGGGTCCTCATGTCCCCAGTTACAGGCTGTTGTGTTGTCTAAGTCAGCCGTGTCTATGACATCAATGTGGATGGAAGGAAAATGAAAGGATATATTTCTTCAAGCGCTGGACAGATCTTGATAATATAGTAAGCAACTCATCTCCCAGTCATAAGATTATCCATGCTCTGAGGAGATACCTGCAACATGTCACATATCCGAATCTGCAAGACTCGTGTGATATGAAGCATCATACTTGTGTTAAGAATATAGTGTAGCTTAGAAAGGATAAGATTTCACAATGATGTGCTACGGGACACTAAGAATCATTATCTCTTTTTAATGCTTTTGGTAACCAACTGTTCAAGCATGTAAAGAAAGGAAACTTGTTCAATCTGAGCTGAGTGTCCACTACTTCTAAGACACAAATTTAAAAATAGCACTCAATATAATGAAAAAAAATGAAAGAGACTTTTAGAGAATGCTTCTCACTGATAATGACATGGAAGCATTTCTTATGGCTATACAAAACAAAGCATCTTCAATGTCATGAGATATGAAATTATTCTCCACTCTAAGAACTGACTGACTGCAGATGTAGTTCTCATCTTGAACTTAGAAAAAAGGAGTATTTAGATTTGTGGATGCATAATCAGTTACCAGCCTACTTTCTACTTCAGTATCAAAAATATCTGCTATTAAATTCTTGTCCCTATGCTATACAGCAAGTGATTTTACTTGATCTGAATAACGAAGAGCCTGCTTCTCAGCAGGTCTATGGAGACAGAAATCCAACATGATTGAGGATCCTGTGAAAGGGTATCAGGATGGAGTTTTGAGGGTGTGTACTTCTATTTTGGGTGACATGACCAAGCTGGATATCTATCTGAGAAAGAACTGGCCTTGGTGATGAAAATTCAGGTGCATCAAAGATAACAAAAAAATCTATTTCACACTATAAGTACAAAGGGGCTCATAATGGAGAAGTCAGTTTCCAGGAGAATTTCTGGTATTAAACTGAAGTAGTTGCTCCATTGATGAATCAAATAAAGAAAGTGCTATCTGACTATCCTCAGCAACGCTGGAAGAACATATGGTGACTTAGATCAGACTCACTGTTCATTCATTACGGTGACTATATTAGCTTCAAACTTGCTAAAGAAAGTAGGGGGCCTGCTCCAAAAGTAATGCATCTCATTTTATTATGTTGGCCCACAATGTCAGAGGCATACGTTGCTGGTATGACAGTGGAGGTTGAACCTTTCTGCCAATTCTCCATTCAATTTTGTTGCCATGCAACAGATGGCAACAGATGACAAAATGGTGTCTGACAGGAAGTGCATATGGAGCAAAGGTGTGTAGCTGAATTCTTCCATGCACAAAAAAAAAAAAAGACAGAAGAACCTGCTGACACCAAACAATGAATGCAAGCACCATGAATTTGTGTGTGTTTCAGGAGGGGCAATATGAAAGACAAGCCATGTTCTGGACAGTCATGTACAGCTGTCACATCACAAAACGAAGTACATCTCAATCAGTTCAGCCACATGAATTGGCAGGTTATGACCAGGGGACTGTGTACAGAGCAGAATATCAGCTTCAATGCATTAGAAACTATGGTGGCAACACTGGAATACTGCAAAATGTGTGGCAGGTGGGTCCAATATGAATTCTCACACAGGAACAGAAAGAACGCTGTACTCAAGTTTATCAGGACCTACAGAACCAACATGAGGTTGCAGATGACAGTTTCCTGGATTGCATCATTACTGGTTGTAATGGCTTGGTTCCATGACAGCATCTGAAGGGACCCATGGACCCATGCGCTGGGAAAGGGGGAAAGGGAAAAAAGGTAGGAAGATGGGCACAGATGAGAGAAACAGTGGCAAAGAGCTAAGGGAAAAAACTTGATTCACTAAATATAATAGCAGAATGTGAGATAGTACAATACAGTATGATTGGAATTGAAGCCAATAAAGCAAACAAAATGGGAGAGAGAGAGAGTTTCTAAAGGTTAAGTCCTTACTCTAATGCTGTAGGTCAGATGGTGGGAGCAGTCTTGTGACTCTCAGTCAGGTTTATCATTCCCTCTGAACAGAAAATAGAAATGGAACAGTGAAGTCTTCTGGGAGTTGCAGTTCATTCTTCTCTTCTGAGACCAGGAAACGGAATAGCGACAATCCATGGAACTGCAGCATTAACTCTCTAACTTCCAGAACAATACATGGTGTTATGTTTTGGAATACCTATAACAAGCCACAAAACCATGACACTGGTGACAAGGCATAGTGTCACCACTATGAGGTGGAGTCAAAATGGCACTCCATGGAGTGACGACATGAGAATTCCTCGCTGAAGATAAAGCTCAAGACGCAGCCCCCAGTAAGTAAAGTGACATGCACTGTCTTTTGGGATAGGAAAGGGGTGATCCTCCTGAATTTCCTGGAACATGTCCAAACGATCAGCTCTGACAAATATCTATGATAAATCTTATGTTTGCAATCCTACGTTATGGTGCCAAATACTAGCTGGCACATGCTGAACTAATAATTTATGACTTATAAAACCTTTATAAATCAGTATTGTAACATAAACCTTTTCTAGGGATTTCCTACAGGAATCGTAGCAGATCTGGAATATTTTCAATCTGGAGCAAGTCTGGAACAAAGCACAAGTTGCAAGTTCGCACATCCCTGTAAAGATGGTAAAAGAATCTTTCAAATATACCAGCAGACAACGGAAAGCCATTGAAAGTTGCACAGAGTGGAACAATGACACAGCAAGTAACCACTGAGGAGGGAAGCACATGACTTACAAAATGAGAAAAAAATAATTCCTGAGAACAGTTCTGAAAAAAGTGGAACAATTAAACTGTAAGAAATTTTCAGCACTCAATAACTCTGACTTAGCAAGCTATTAAAAAGAAAGGAAGCAGGACTGTAACGGCCCTATTTTATTTTCTCTCTTCCTGAGCACAAGAGAGGACAGTGTACGAACACGCACCCTACCTTATGAGGAGACCTGTGAAAAGGTTTATCCAGTCTCAAGGAATAGAACGCTGTATTATCCCAAGTGTATACACAGATAGACTGTCAGTTATATTGGGATATATCTTGAGGCTTAAATGCTGTCCTGTTTAAACTCATAATTACCCTGTCAGTAGAACATTTGCTGTGTGCAGGATCAGAATTTTAACTCAAGTTCAGTTTTAATGCAGTTTTCATGAATGTGTACACACCTTCCATCTAATAAGGCAGTAAGAGAAACAATCAAAAATAGGAATATATATATATTTTTAAACACTTTTTATTATTACAATAACTGTACCCATGTTTGATATAATACGCTTTCAAACAGCAAGAGTTGATATTCTGATTAAAGTGAGAATACAATTCTGAAATTTTTTTGTGTAGATTTTGACTACTGGATAATACAGAAAGCCCTACAAAGTAATTTGACTTTCATTCTAGTTGATGTTCTAGTAATATTCCGTATCAGTAATAACATTTCTTATGTAGCTATATTGCAGGTCAGCCCATTACTACATTCTGTTCAATTAGGGAATGAAGAAGCAAATGAATCTGTTAGAATTAAGGGAAAGTGACTCCGTGTTGTATTACACTCAAAAGAGACTAATGTAGTACAGCCAGAGAACTCAAGTTTTGATTTGTATTGCCAGCAAGTTGCCCAAAAACAGAGCACAAACAGTATTTCGAGAACACACAGTGTTTTAAGACAAAATTCCATCTGCTTGGTAAGAAATATAACTGCTGAATAACAGTATTTATGAATTAATGGAAATTGCTTACCTCATCATAATAAGCTCTCAAATCAGCTCTTTTAGATCGTAAGTCCCAGAATACTACAGTCCCATTTTCATAGCCTATCAATAGCTGGAGGAGGGAAACAGACCCAATTACAGTTTCATACTCAAATATACAAATAGTTATTAAAGAACTTCACGGTTTTAAGGCATATTTCAAAAAAGTAAACAATATAAAAAATGCCAAACTGATGCACAAGACTATAGATTATAATATACACAATACCCTGCATTCAAATTATCTTTTACTATAATTTACTTCTGATGACATACAATTCCAGTCCTGATACAATGTGCTTCATAGATCATTTTTATGCAAGGTTATACATGCGGACTGTCTTCACAATTTTTTGTCTGTTGAGAAAATACTAATATGGCATGTTTCTCTCAGTGGCTCTCTTCCTTCCCTAGACAACAATTGTTGGAGGGACAACAATTTGACACCTGAGAGTTTTCTTAAATTACATCAAACCAAAGAGTAGCCAGATTAAACTCTCTCTCATCTAGATATATTCCTTTAATTTGTGCTTTCTATTTCTTTTAAACATTTTGAAGAAATCCTGTTGCAGAAAATAAATTGCTTACTTCTCTAGAAATTGAAAGCAAGTTAACCTGTTTGCAATTTTTTACTTATAAAATTAGAACATCATACAATCATGCATACCTGAGAAATACCAGTCAGATTAAGCAAAATATAATAGGGAATATGATAGAGAAGAAAAGCAACGCTTAGAAAAGAAGTAAGAATGAACACAATGCTTTCTCCTTGTTTCTACTAAAAATAACTAAATTTTATATCAGCTGCTGTACTGAGTACTTTTAATTTGAATTTAGTTCATTCTAAATCTTATATAATGCGTGAAGCCTGGCGTGCTTAGAAGTCCTGCAAACTGTTTCCCATGGAGCTTGTCTTCCTAAGAATCAGTTCTGAAGAATGAGAATGAGCATACTGGAAGACACACATTTTGATTATGGACTATTCATGTACATGGGGCAGTGATATCTGCAATTGTTTTTTGTCCTAAAATACATGGATGATCGCAGAAGGCAAACAAAAATTCAAGAATTTTTCGTATCAAGAATTTGAGGGAAAGAATGACAAGATGACAAGACTATCTCTTAGTCTGTGAAACTTCACTAAAGTCGCTGCTGTTACTGACTATAGCTTGTGTAAGTCATAAAAGTTGAACTGCTGGACTGCAAAATAAAACTCTTTTTTTCCAAATTAAGCACCTTTAATACATCAATACCGCAGTATACAGAGTCTGGGAATACTCTAAATTCTACTGGATATAATTCTCTGTGTTGTCAGAATATTTTTTGCATGGAGATCCATTTCGTGTTCTCGGAATGACTTACAGTTAAATACATATAATACCTGAATAGGAAAAATACCTGATTATTTAGGAATTTTGTTCCCTAACAAAACACTAATTGTCTTGGAGAAATCTCAGAATATTTATTATTTTTGCCCTGGACAGGTCCATCTGGGATTCTGTAGCAGAGTAAACGAGAAAAGACATCAGTGTTCAGAAATCATATAGCAAACTGGATAGTACTGGTGTCAGGCTGCCATATGGTAATCTGACACAGAGGACTGCCAACAGGAAAATGAACAAAGGGCCTTACTGCAAATTCTTTCACTGCCAGTGTAGTGGTTCTAAACAGAGACAATTGTATATTCAGGACTTAGTGATTCGCAGAACAGCCTAACTATGCACAGGCCTGTACTGAGATACGCTCTGCTGCACATATTCCTTGACTACAAGACAAACTTAGCGGGGTAATGGTAAAGGAGAAGCCTGTAGGCAGCTCCCTCTTGGTAAGAGTAAACACAGTACCCACGCGCCCTTGTCTTAATCTAAATGTAAAGCAGTATCTTCTATGAGCAACCTTTTGCTTGACAGTAGAAAGAATAAACTTTTTGAGTAAGCAAATCTTTTAAGAGCTCTAAAGAGATGGAAATGCCGATGAACCTCTTCACAGATGATGTCAGTGCTGTGTCCATTTAATGTTGTCCTATTTGGGGTTTCCAGCATTTTAGGTACATAAGATTATCTGTCTTTTTTCCTTTTTGTATTTTTTGTATATATCATGCAGATTCTGAGTGCTTTTCTTACTATCTTCACTACTGCATTACAGCTGGGTACCAAACCAGTTGAGTTTGGTTTGGGTCTACCAGTATTCTTTCTCAGATTTATACAATTATAAACAGGAAAGGAATAGAAAAGCATTTAGTATGTGACCTTGTTTCATAATAAGCATTCCTCCCCAGTGAAGCAGGCTTGCTTCTTGATTTTTATCACTCTCTTTTGCAAAGACATTGTGCTCCAGGTAATTACTAAAAGGTAAAATATCACCTATCAGATGCAGCTTCCCATGTGATCTATCACTAAAATGTCGATGCACAACAGCACTAAAGAACTGCAAGATAGAAAGCATTGAGCTTCATGGGAAGCTGAAAGATGCACAGAACTGCTGCATAGCTGCAATCTCTATCTATCTTCTATTCTCAGATGGTAGCTCTGCTGCTTGACTAATAATAGTGTGGTGTGACAATAAAGTCAGAATTCCAACAGGGTGAATATGATTAGTCTCATTCTCTGTGTATTTATGATACTCTAAACTGTCTGAATCAGTTGATCTGAATGTAATCTGTCTGAAGTACAGAAAACCCAAGCCTTCTCACTCCTCTTGCTTATTGTAGGCACTTCAGAGATCTGTAAGATGAGCTCTATGCTAGTCAACCCTGTAAAAAAAATCCATAATCTGTAAATACAGCTGTAGGAGAAAACATAAACAGAAAACCATAAACGTATTGATACATATAAAAGGAGTATAGGAAGAAACCAAAAAGCTATCTTTTCATCTTGTGTTTCTGAACCCTTGTTTAATTTCTCATGCTTAACAATTAAGAATCATACAGTAGGTTGCACAGAATTTCAATGATGGAGAAGTCCTGGCACTATCTTCCATGTCTAGCAGAGTTGCTCCACATTCTGACCACACAAATCCTTATCCCTGAAATGATTTTGATGTCAGTATTTAAGGGAGATTTCTCCTTTGCAATCAACAACTTCCATTCTGGTACCTGCCAGGCAGCCCCCTCTTTGTCCTGGTAGCACAAAATTTCTGTGGGGAGAAAAAAAAAGCCTGCCAAGCGCACTCTACATTTAGGTGTTATTAGATCTCAGAACACAGACTCAGAGATAGGAAGTTTAGTCCACAACCTGATGGTTGATATCATTAAACCTTTTCCTATTAAGCTTTCTCCAGTTGCTGGGAAACTACAGATCACTGCAGTTAATGTCTTCTTCTGTGTCAGCAAGAAAAATACTGTTTGCTACAGATCTGCCACTTACAAATATCTGTGTACTTCAGTCTGTTCCTAATGTACACTAACTCACTGACATGGCAGGTAATTACATTTCATGAACTTAATCACTTGGTCCCCAAATTGTTCTTAAATGGCAGGCTAAAAGCCCAGATTCTCTTTGTTGTCTGCCTTCCAACTACCACTTGCTAGAATCGTAACAGAGACCGTCTTCAAACCCTGCCTTGATAGTTCGTTTGGAAGGTCAAAGTCTTCTGGAATTAATTACATTCAATCTTTTGGCACAGAAATACTGGTCATCAGTCATTGATATCAACTATTGAACTTTAAGCATTCTAACAGTAATCAACTTTATGATATCACAGAGAAGTATACACTACTGGATCCTGGCAGAGTGCAATATCCTTACAGAGTTTAAGAATATCTGTCTTACCAGCAATGATTATAACTGAATTGTTACCCAAAATATTCTTCTAGCTTTTGTATTGAAAGAGACTATGGACTGTCTTCCTCTTCATAACAATTATTATTTTCAAACTCAGGATCACAATCAGATCTATTCCATAATTTTCCTGTCTGACATAACTGTGTATCAGGTAGAAAACGTTGCCCCTTCTCTGAATCTCTTTGAGCCTGATTACATCACTTTTGAGACAGAAGAGCAAGAGTTTTTTACTCAGTACAGAGCAGGCAAGTCAACCATGCATTTATGCAATAGGCCTGTTTTCTCTATTCTGCTCTAAATGGTGCCTGTTATTTTATTTTTTGATCACTACTGAGCACTGAGCTGATATTTTCATTGAGAAATCAGTCTCCATTCTGTAATCTTGATGGTAAGCAGTAATGATCATCCGAAACCCTCCATCTTATATATGAAGTTAGAAATATTCTTATCCTTCACGTGCATCACTTCACATTGTCTATACCAAACACTTACAAAAGTCATTATTTAAGCTGCCATTTTACTGCTGAGTTTCTCATTCTCCTAAAGTCCAGCAAACCTGATTACATCACAGTTTACCCTCTTCTAGGTTTTTTATAACAATGCTGAGCACAAAAATACCCAAACACTGGGTTTATATTTTTCCTTCCATTTTTTCCTCTCTGAAGAAAGGTTGTTTGTTTTTTTTTTGTTTTCATTCTTTCAACTCAAATATATATTTTTTTCCCCCTCTTTACTATTGTACCTTTTCACTGGAACCATGTCTTTTGATTCAGCGTTTGACCTCCTCCTTTGTTTCTGTGAACCTTTTACTGATATCTTCCATTAAATATTAAACTGCTGATTCCACATTCTGCAAATCTGCAAGTATTTCGTTAGGATCAATTGGCTCTTTACACCATTTTCAATTTATCAGTGATACAAACAGCAGCACAGGGATGGTTTCAGTACATCTTTCGTTCTCTCCCAATACACTTCCAACGTTTGTTTTCAAAAAGAATCCACCTGATTTTGCTTTTACCAGAGCCCTGCTCATATGCCAATACCTCATCAGAGCCCAGACCTCTCAAATGCATTCTCCAACCAATAAGCAACTGTAGTACTTTCCAAGTAGACTCTTCTCCAACTTCCTTTACTGAGAAGTTGGAGTCTCAGTAGTTGAGAAGTTGGAGATGAAGTCTTTTCATCTTCCTTTCAGCTGAAGCAAAAATATTTTAGGTTTTTGTTGTAACATGGTACATGACTTCCTTCAAGAGATACACACTCACGGAGAATTTCTTTTCTTTTGGCATTTTTCTCACTACACATTGTGCTTTAGGTGGGTCAGTAACAGCTTCTTTGGAATGCAACAAACAAGACTTGTACTGGAACAATAAAACTTGCTTTTTATCAGGTATTTCAGCATCAATAGTTAAGTAGCATTTTTTGATGACTCCTGGTTTCAGGCTAAGACACTGTGTTCCATAGCATTTAATTACTTTCATTGGCTCTATTCTAAATCGCTTCAACTACTGAGATTCTTTCAGAAAAGCTTAAAGATCCAGGCTGTTGGAGGACTAGACAGCAAGTGCACTGTCTGCATATAGTTCACTCTGCAAGATGGATAACTCCAAGGATTGACAATACAAATGAAATTCAGATGTAGTCTCCAGTGTCATCCTGGGTAGCTATATTAATTTCAGCATAATGCACCGTATATCAGAAACACAAACTCTGAATGCTTCTAATTTCCAATAATCATCAGCAGTTACACGAGACACAGCGTCAAATAGATACACCGTTTGTAAATCGGAGTCCTTTATAAATGCTTACTGAAATGTAATTCTCAAAAGTGATCAAAAAAGACAAAATAGCTAAGTGCCGCTCCACATGGGCAAAATGCTAAAAAATTTAGCAGCAGCATCTAAATAAAACATTTCTGGCAACCAAATTTCATTTTCAAAAAGCTACCACAGAAACAAAGCCAACTCAGATTTTGCCTTCTCATGATATGAATCACACTTCGATTACATGTTTTGCTTTCACTTATTCACAGCTCTTTGCTACTCTCAACTCTGCTAAAGAACAACAGCGAGTTCCAAATGTTGGTTGCTATCATTATTATTCTTGTGTAAAAAACGATATATAACCTTATGAAAGCTTGGTATAACGTCCTCATCATCGCATGCGTTCTGCAAGTACCAAAGTCCTGGCAGTCTCTAGTCAATTCTTAATTACACAAAAATCACATTTATTTAATCAGGAACAATTTTGACAATTTTGACCGGCTGTAGATTTCAAGAGATGTTGTCTGTGTATTATAATTTCTTACTCATAAACTTATTCAAAGAGATTTTTTTTCATAAAAGCTGTAAAACAGTAACAGTGACCCTAAACATACATATAATGAATGAAAGCAGATTATCATATCAGAGAAAGTGTTATTAAGGTCAATGCAGGCTATAAAATGTTGCAGTATGTTATATCATTAATTGTACTCACTTTCCCTTCATCTCTTGGGCTATCACTTAAATGTACAACTGGCCCAGGGTGAGTCTTAGTGGATCTGCAAGACAAAAATCAATTCAAATCTGTGAAACTTCTCTTCGTACAAAGAGCTGGATGCTTACCTTAATTGCTAGGTGTGTTAATATGCATCTCCAACAACTTAAAAGTCTTTATAAAAAGTCCAAAGGGGAAGATAGTTATCTGAAAACAATCTATACACGTTCATGTTCAACTCTGTTCTTTCTTGCTCTGTTACAGGTAAAGCCCCTCATTGATGAATACTTTCTTCTTTTTTTAAAAAAGGAACAACTTACTTTTCACCCCATTATAGATTTTTTCCCCCTAATTTCTAAAGCTTTTTTGCCTTTGCTTTTGTTCACTCCCTCACTTTCTGTTTGCCCTGCTCTCGACTGATTTCAAGGTTAATCTGCCAAGGATGTGTAATCTTCACTAGATTCATTTCAGTAACTAATATCAAGCCTCACTAAGCTCTGATGTTATTAATGACAGAGATTCAGTAATCTCAAACACGTTGCTCCATCAGCTAGCTTCTTAGAATTAGAGGGACTCTGGAAATTAAGTATCTTGCCTTTGTTCAATAAAGCCTTATGTCTTCAGACCAACTCCTACAGTTACATCCACAATGCATACTCAATATAGCTCCTCAGCCATAAAACTCATCCTTTGAGTCTTTACAAGTTTCTGTATAGATTACTTTCTGTTCTTGCTGTTCCCTCTATTTTTGCAACAGGTACCATCAACTTACTATGCAGTTTAGTACAGGGATTGCTGCCATCCAGCACCTGACAGCAAATGCAAGTAGGAAACCAAAGGAATGGATGAAGATTTTTGGACTGCCATCTTTTCTGACCAGACCTTTACACCCTGGCAGTCATACAAGGAAGACCAGCACTAAGTTCACAAAGCTTCAGACTATTTGACATGGTGAACAGGACTTTTCCTTTACTTATGTTCTGGGTCACAGCACACATCCCCTGCATTTCAGCTCAGGATCTAGACTTGCTCTCCCTACTTACATGACTGATCTGAATTTATCAAACACCAACAGAAAAAGAAATAAGTCAGAGATTGGCCAGGCCCATAAAGTTTATCTGGAAGCCACATGTAAAATGACTTAGCCAATAAACTGAAAAAAATTCTGCAAGAAAATTAAAGAAAAATCAAAACAAGCTTTTCCAGCCAAACTACTCAAAGGAATTGCATAAGAGTATTCAAATACTGAACTGTAGCAAAACTGGATATCAACCACTTTATTCTACCAGGAACAATTCCCAATCCAAATTGAGAGTAGTATACAAAAATTTCCAGGCATCTTGAACATTAGAACACTGCAGAGTAATCTGTACCCTCCTTCCCAAAGCAATCATCTAAACACCAGACAGACTTCCAAGAAAGGCTATACCTTACTTCCCTACAAGTATTTTAACATTACTGCTAGTTGAACAGGCAAGTCTAGTGGCAATCTGGCAGCATGTTCACATGGTGAACCTTCTTCATGAGGCGATCCCACACCATCATCTCCAGCTTTTGCAGATCATGTTTCCTCAGCTGTAGCGTTATACTTTGCTGCACAAGGTCTAGGTTAGTAAGGCTTCCACAAAGAACAATTTGCAACATATCCCAGCAAGATAGAGAGATTAGCAGAAAGCAGGGGAAAACCTATTTACAGTATATACGTTCCGTACAGAGTGCGTTTAATAGTGACAGCAGCAGGTACACACTTGGCTTAAATCATAGCTTGCAACCATTTTATTTATTTACTTATTTATTTTTGCAGAGATGCAGGTAACAGGAGATCTGGCTATTCTTATCCCAGTCAGCTCCCCAAAAGGGACAGCCTCAAGCTGAACTTGTGCATCTGAGTAAGCTATACTGGAAAGAGTGAGAGACAGAACAAGGATTTTTCCATTTTAGACAGATAAGAACCACTCCAACATACTGTGAATCCACTTTTCTCTCCCTTTTTGCATTTCTACGGGCAGTTCCTCACTGTTGAAAATGGTCCAGTTAGTCAGACAACAAACCCTGTTGACAAGTGCTACAGAAGAGGGAGCAGAGCCAAGCAAACATCAGTCATGGCAACATCAGCTGGCAACAGATAAAACGATGCAGGCAGGCATGGCATGCTGGTTTTGGCCAGTTATTCCAACCCACTGAACTGACCATTATGCAGACTGAGTAGCTTGACAATACAAGTGTTGGTATTTGACCAGGAACGTTAGCAAAACTGAGGAAAATGGAGGGAGAAAGGAAAAGTGTGTACTGTTCTTCTAAGACACAGGGTGATCCCTTCTAAGCTGCTGTTGGTATGTGCTAGTTGTAAAAGTCAAGAACAACTTAGATACATTTGCCCAAGCACTGTTTTCTTTTTAAGATGGATATGTAGTGCTCACTAAAGAACAAATTCATTTAGTTTTGAGTAGAAGCAAAGTGTTACATGAGAGCTGCAGCCGCTCCACATTACATCTAATGATAGGTTAGTTATACTTCTATTGCCACACAAGATCGTAGCTCCTTTGAAAATGATACAAAACTGTTTTTCACTACCAGTCTTATTTTTATCTTATCCTTCCAAGGAAGTACTCTTTGATTTCCATATGAGACTTCAGCTAAAAGGAGTAATGTCACTCATACAACACATTTTCCTACCTCATTTCTCTGTCTTGAATCTACTGTACCACAGTAGTTGGAGGATCCTGGAATGTTTGCATCTGAAAAAGTATAATAAAATTTCGTCCTGCTTTTAATGAGATTCAACACTTTTTTGTTGTTTTAGGAATAAAATGAGTTTTATTTATGAGGCTCCTAGATATTTGGTCAATTTTGCTGAGTAAGTGCTTCACATACAATCTCTGTAAAGTCACTGCCAATCACAGCAGCCTGTACACCCAATTTAGGAAATTTTATTTTTCTGCATTCTTGTTCCTCTATATTGAATATAAGCATTACCTTAATATTTATATTACCTTTCTCTTCAGTACTGTAATGAAGTAGTTGTTTTGTATTATAACTAACTAGGTCAAGTTTCTTCCAATTTTATTATTTTAGTCTAGAAGGTATGTTACTCATCAAAAAGGTCAGTGAAGCATTCTTCTGCTTTCACACCTACACCCGCAGTTTTAGATTCAGTTCTTGTTAGCTCATTTGCATCAAATACAGGGTGTAGGATGTAAGGTACTGGTAGTGTGGAGGCTACAGGGGTGGCCTTTGTGAGAAAAGGCCAGAGGTTGGCTTGTGCTGGACACAGACAGCTCCAGAAAACCCAATGCAGGACACAGCTTAGCCCAGTAGCAAACTTTGAGGTGCCTTGGGAAAATGTATTTAAGAAGGGTGAAATGCTGCACAGGCAGTAAGGAATAACGACAACAATTGTGAGAAACTGCCCTGCAGACACCAACATCAATGAAGGAATGCAGGAGGTACACCAGGGGCTGGAGCATAAATTCCCCTGTAGGCCATGAAAAAGAGTATGGTGAAATAGGTTGTCCATTTGCAGCTGAAGGAGGACCATATTTCCAGACAGTAGCCTCTGGAAGACGCCACACTGAAGCAGTTGGGTATTTTAAGAATGAGCTACAATCTATGGGGAGCCCACTCTGGCTCCTGAAAGACTAGTTCATGGGAAGATCCCATGATGATGCAGGAAAAAATAGTATGAGGAAAGAGAGACAGAGAGGAATTATTATAGACTGATTGCAACCCCTCATTCCACATCCCGTTGTGCTGCTTTAAATTTTGTCTTAACTTTCACCATCCACTTTTATTTTTAAATGGCAATAAACCAAATTTTATTTTCCCCAAATTGAGTCTCTTTTGCCCATCGACAGTAACTGGTAGTTAAACTCTCAGTCTTTACCTCCACCCAGGAACTTTTCCACCTTAATTGCTTCCCCTATCCTGCTGAGGCAGGGAAATGAGGCAGTGGTTGTATCAGGGTCTTGCAGCCAGCAAGGGTCCACCCACCATAAATTCCTTAATTGTTCAACAGCTGTCAGTTTTGACTTCATACAGGTTTTTCAACAGTGTTTTCAACAGTGTTTTCAACAGTGTTTACTAAGTTTGGCAGTCATAGTACTAACTCTGTCAGGAAATGAGTAAGAATTTTTTTTTAACAATTGGGCAGCCTAGAACTCATTTCAGATTTGCTATCACAGATAACGTTACACATGGAATTTCTTGAGTGATGACAGCTGATGTTACTGAAGCATTCTAAGATTGCAGAGCCTGCTCCCTGGCAGTCTTTCCGCACTAGCACTTCCAGTGCTCCAAGAAATACTGCTTTTTGTCCACAACACACAAAGCATTTTGTGCATCAAAACTGATTCCTCTTCAGTCTAAACAACAAAAAATAGTCACAAGGTGCAGCACAAAGCTTTTAGTTTGGCTTTGCAAGAGACATGCAGTCCATGTTGAAGGACATGTCTCAGGAATGATATGCTGATATGATATACAAAATTCCACTTCAGATGGAACTGTAGAGAAAAATGAATGAGACTTAACTTTCTCTATTCTGCATGGTCTTTCCCTTATTCCTCTGAACCTAACATCTTGCTGGATATAAGAGAGGGATATGATAAATCTCCACCTTCCTGCTTCTCTTGAAGTGATATTTGCTCTGCCCTAGTGCAGGACTGTGGCTAAGAACGCAAAGCTAGCTGTCCATGCTGCACATTAAGATGAACAAGAAATATGCCAAAGGTAGATCAATGCCTTACCTGACATGCATCTTCTTGTATCTTCAAGAAAAGCATAAACAAGCAAATAACAGCAATGTTTTCTGGAGCACTAGAGCAGTGTTGCACGTAAAGGGGCTGCCAGTCACTAGGCTCCATAAACAATTTCTCCTAAGGGTAGACATAATGACTGCACTACAAACAGGATTATATAAAGCAATTATTTAGCTAATTTAGTTAGTTTACAGAACTCATGAAACACTACTGGAGCTACAGCTACAGTAACTGCTACTTTCATCTAGCAAATTACATTGCATGTGAAAATGTGTACACACAAAAACATTTTGCCTCATGTAACTATAGT